AAAATTATTTCTTGATCTATGGCAGATATTTGAGTTCTGTTTTTTCCCACATGTAGAGATAGTCCATTTGGATATTCCCAGCAAGTTTCAGCCTTGTAGCTCTGTAACTTTTCAAGCAAAAAAATTATTTGTGTTTGAGCACTTTTTGACTACCACTGTGCAGACCAGAAATTGCTACTTTTCAAACTTACAGATTTTATTTAGTTTTTTTGAGTTTTTTGAACTCCCTGGGGTCCAATTAGTAGGAAAAGACCAAAACATGAGAGAAATTGGCATATTTGGCAAAGTTGGTCATTGGCCATATTTGGTCCCTATGGCCTATATGCATGAAAACTGACCAAAATTATTTCTTGATCTATGGCAGATATTTGAGTTCTGTTTTTTCCCACATGTAGAGATAGTCCATTTGGATATTCCCAGCAAGTTTCAGCTTTGTAGCTCTGTAACTTTTCAAGCAAAAAATTTATTTGTGTTTGAGCACTTTTTGACTACCACTGTGCAGACCAGAAAGTGCTACTTTTCAAACTTACAGATTTTATTTAGTTTTTTTGAGTTTTTTGAACTCCCTGGGGTTCAATTAGTAGGAAAAGACCAAAACATGAGAGAAATTGGCATATTTGGCAAAGTTGGTCATTGGCCATATTTGGTCCCTATGGCCTATATGCATGAAAACTGACCAAAATTATTTCTTGATCTATGGCAGATATTTGAGTTCTGTTTTTTCCCACATGTAGAGATAGTCCATTTGGATATTCCCAGCAAGTTTCAGCCTTGTAGCTCTGTAACTTTTCAAACAAAAAATTTATTTGTGATTGAGCACTTTTTGACTACCACTGTGCAGACCAGAAATTGCTACTTTTCAAACTTACAGATTTTATTTAGTTTTTTTGAGTTTTTTGAACTCCCTGGGGTCTAATTAGTAGGAAAAGACCAAAACATGAGAGAAATTGGCATATTTGGCAAAGTTGGTCATTGGCCATATTTGGTCCCTATGGCCTATATGCATGAAAACTGACCAAAATTATTTCTTGATCTATGGCAGATATTTGAGTTCTGTTTTTTCCCACATGTAGAGATAGTCCATTTGGATATTCCCAGCAAGTTTCAGCTTTGTAGCTCTGTAACTTTTCAAGCAAAAAATTTATTTGTGTTTGAGCACTTTTTGACTACCACTG